TGTCCTATCTCCAAAACACAATGTGTGAAGTTGTTATCACTCGCAAAGGAACAAGTGTGCCTATTCTTTCCTGGGCCATGATCCAGAAAGCCACACGAGAAACTCCAACAAGGCTTTGACATCTCTTTTCACGGGAGCCCTCTGTGTGCCAAACCACTTTTGAAATGCCAGGGACTCAGCACGGAGGGGCTGCTTTCCAAGGTAGCGGTGGTGGCAAGGACTCAAAAGTTTTGCTGGGAATTCACCAGCCATCGCATACAGAGCGATCTTGAGGATCTTGGTTGCAAGACCTACTTCCCGTTGCAATGTCGGAAGCAGCTTTCAAGCACTTGCCGTTTTTTAAAACGAACCTCTTATTGCAAGCCGGCACCAATTTCAGTGTGTAAGCAAGCATGACACCGTAGGTAATTAGCAAGCTGAGCCAAAGAAGAACCACATTTAGCTCAGTAGCTTTTAAAACAGAGTTATTTTCATTTGTTTACCTAATGTCTCTTGCCACTGAAGGCTAATGAACTAGTAATGGATCTGTCAAAAATCTGCGAGGAGACAAAGACCTCTAAATGTTGCCATTTTAGTCTATGAGAGCTGCTATTACAGTTTCCAAACACCTGATATACATAAATATGACACGGCGAGGGAGTTAGTATTCAATGGGGGTAGAGAGGCAGTAGTGCCATTTATACACTGTGGGAGTGGAAGCAGAGAGCATGTCATGAAAACGCAAGTGACAGGAGCCTAAAAAAGACAGCATCACTCACCAGAGGTGCTCCCGGACTTCAAAGAGATGTTTACTCCAATTTTTGCTCACCTTTCCATCCTCCATCACCACCATCATCACCACCAGCATCATTTTATTTGTATGCCGCCTTTCCATAGTTGAAACTATGCTCAAGGCGGCTTACAACATGACAAGCTTTACATAATTACAAACATAACAGAAGTCATAAACAATACATAGGTAAAGGTAAAGGGACCCCTGACCATTAGGTCCAGTCGTGACCAACTCTGGGGTTGCGGTGCTCAGCTTGCTTTATTGGCCGAAGGAGCCGGCGTGCAGGTTCCGGGTCATGTGGCCAGCATGACTAAGCCACTTCTGGCGAACCAGAGCAGTGCAACGAAATGCCGTTTACCTTCCTGCCGGAGTGGTACCTATTTATCTACTTGCACTTTGACATGCTTTCGAACTGCTAGGTTGGCAGGAGCAGGGACAGAGCAACGGGAGCTCACCCCGTTGTGGGGATTCGAACCGCCGACCTTCTGATCGGCAAGTCCTAGGCTCTGTGGTTTAACTCACAGCGCCACCCACGTCCAAACAATACATAAAACACATCAAAAAGTACACAACCAAATGGAAACAATTTCCATGTAAATCGTAAGATCTAAAACTAAAGATACGACAATAATATCAATAACAGCAAGAAGCTCTCTCAACCTCCCGTGAACAACACTCCAGCCCAAGAATCTGCTCAACAGCCTCAGCTTTTGTAGCTGGAGTCAGTCAGCACTCCACTCTCCTAGGCCAGATGGGAAAGGGCCGGCAAGGCAGGGTGCAGGTCTTCCAGAGATCACAGCCAAGGTGGTCTCATTGAAAACAACACAGATAGAAATGAAAAACAATTTAAAAGAGGAGCCCTCTCTGCTGAGCAGCAGCAGCACTCCTTAGGAGCCGGTTAGGCCCCGCCCCACTCAGGTGGAGAGAGGCCAGGGTGGGGCCCTTCAGGCCCTCAGCAGGCAGCCCTCCTCATAGTCTCACAACAATCCTTTGAGGTAGGTTGCTATAGATCAGGGTTTCCCCAACTTAGGTCTCCAGCTGTTTTTGGACTACAACTCCCAATATTCCTAGCTAGCAGGACCTTGGGTCTTCTACTCTGCCTGACCACTCTTCCAGTATGTTCCTAGGGGAAGCTCCTCCACTGCTTTCTCTCTTTTCATTGGATTCTCTTGGGGCACTTTTCTTGGGCAGCTGCTATTCTCCCTTTACAAAGTGTCCTAGTTTAACTCTCCTTGGCATGTACAAGAGAGGGCAAGTTTTCACTGTGGTCCACGCCTCAGACATCATCCCTGGAAACCAGATGGGTCCACTCATTGGCCTTCCAGGCCCAGCACTGCCCCAGACAACAGCTGACTAATTGGGACTAATTTTGGCTCCATGCTGTCTGAAGGAGCAATATGGACCTACCACAAAATAGCAGTGAACCAGTATTTGGCTGGTTATCTGCTTTGGGGTGGTGTGTGTTTGTGTGTAACTGTATTATGTATATAGATTTGTTTTAACTACAGTGGTGCCTCGCAAGACGAAATTAATCCGTTCCGCGAGAGTCTTCGTCTAGCGGTTTTTTCGTCTTGCGAAGCAAGCCCATTGACGGATTAGCGCTATTAGCGCTATTAGCGGTTTAGCGGCTATTAAAGGCTTAAAGGCTTAGGGATTAGCTGCTAAAAGGCTATTAAAGGCTATTAAAGGCTTAGCAGATTAGATAAAGGGGGAACGCGAAAAAAAAAACCTCAAGACTCGCAAGGTATTTTCGTTTTGCGAAGCAAGCCCATAGGGGAATTCGTCCTGCGAAGCAACTTCAAAACGGAAAACCCTTTCGTCTAGCGGTTTTTCCGTCTTGCGAGGCATTCGTCTTGCGGGGCACCACTGTATAACTCACTCCAGAACTTCATTTCCACTGAAGAGCAGGTAATAAATGGCTTATATAAGTGAATAAACGTATCTGCCACAAACATCAGCAGAAATAATAATAATAAAAATCATTCCAATATGACGGATCATAGAAGCAAGCCAATAGTCCCATTCATGTAAGCAGAATTTGTCCACATGACATCCAATATGAGATGGCAGCTTTTACCTCTCCCCTCCCTCCCTCCCTCTCAACAAACATGAAACAAACATGAAGCAACAGCCTTAACTGTTGTCTAAAACAAGATGATTATATGATTATAGTTCATTTCATTGTTATTTGTCTCCTTTGAAACATCGACAGGGCAAGGGATGAACAGATGCTGTTAAGCTTGAGTGCTGTTTGGGAAACGTGCGTCGAATCAGATGCACTGCATTTTGATGCCCCTCCCCGCCCCCATTCAAAAGTCTAGGATTTTCTAGAAACCCAGCCAATCCCAGGACACCTAAACCATTAACCCAACCTTTTCCCAATAGGATCAAATGTAAGTACCATATTGCCCTGAATATAAGCCTCATTCCCCCCCCCCAAAAAAAAATGTCCATGAAAAGTTAAAGTGTGGCTTAAATTCGTGACCTTACAAAAATAGGCTTTTACGATATTGCTGCTGAAACAGACATACGGTAAAATGGAACGGGTGTGAATGCCTGCAGAATTTTAAGTGGGCGGCTTATATTTGGATATTGTCCCCCCCCCCCTTGAATTTTAAAGGTGCGGCTTGTATTCGGGCCAATACGGTATTTCTTTCCAGTGTGACAGCAAACTTCGTAAGTCGTGGAGACATATTGAGCCCGAGAAGTCCATTGCACTAGAAAATTATCTGTCTCCCAGTCTGCAAACTGCATCTGCTTTCCAGCTCCAGAGAGCTGCTGTTGTTTCAGCAAGTATATGACAAGGACAAAGATGGACAGAGACAATTAGCTGAGTTTCTCATGGGCTTTGTGTAATGTACAAGCCAATGATTTGAAACCGAGCCCCCAAAAGCTCCAAATATATAGCAGGCTAAGTGGACTGATTTGATTTCTTACCCACAGTAAGGCATTAAGCAGCTCAAATCAGTGTTGCCTGCAGCGTAATGTTTGCTATATGCAATGATTGCTTGAGTCAGGAGGATTTTTTTTTTTAAAAAAGAAATGCAAGCTTGTTTTCAGAGCACCATGCCCCACAGACACATCAGGAAGACGCTTGGTGATATGGTTCCCTCGCTTGTTGTATGCTTTTGTTATTTGATCTGTGCTTTTCATCTTGTTACTGATAAAAGATGTGATCACTTAGCAAGGTTGTTCTCCGGTCAAAGGTATGTAAACTTTTGCTACATTCTATAGTAGCATGGGGTCACGAAGACTCGGATATGACTAAACAACTAAACAACAACAATAGTGAAGGTCCACTGAGGGAGGATATCAGATTCAGTTGACATTTAAAAGTGGATTTATTTAATGTGCACTCACTGAAACAATGTGCAAATCAAAACACAGATACCCTTCAAAATTTCCACTTACCCAAATTTTGCCAATGCAGTTCTTCAGCCAAGTAACCATCATTTGAAATTCTACTCAATATTGATCCAGAGTAGATTCAAATGTATAGTTAGCAGAGTAAAAATTTAACCACATTGCAGGATTCCCCCCAAAATAGATCAGAAGCAATTGTATTTCATCCAGCAGAGTTTTACTGCTACTGAAGGCAAATGAGCCTAATGGCCACAAATCTAATACATTCAGGATTGGCACTGTTCATAAGAAATCCAGTTGCAGCAGACTTAACTTAAACTTACAATAACTTATAAGTTTAAACCAGGCTTCCTCAAACTCAGTCCCACAGATGTTTTGAGACTACAATTCCCATCATCCCTGACCACTGGTCCTGCTAGCTAGGGATCATGGGAGTTGTAGGCCAAAAACATCTGGAGGGCCGAGGTTGAGGAAGCCTGGAAACCTTAACACAAAGCATACTATGTCCAGAACACCACACCAGAAAGAAAAAAGATAGAAAGAGGAAGTGTGAAAGCCAGGCTCCTTCTGGCCCTACTTTTATAGTCAGCATGACCTTGACAGAAAGAGATAAGAGAACCAGTTTAAACCAACTGTACTCAGCTTCTTTGAAGGAATAATCCAAACATCATGAACTTTCCATTTGTTTCTTTCACACAGAGAAGCTTCCAGAATCCTCTTGAATGAATTAGAATAGGAAAGATCTGTACATATCAGATCAATACTTTCTGCACTAAGAAATGCAAACTGACAGTAACGTATGCAAAAGTCTATTTACTATGGTTGTTGTTGGTTAGTAATTTAGACATGTCCGACTCTTCGTAACCCCATGGACCAGAGCACGCCAGGCACTCCTGTCTTCCACTGCCTCCCACAGTTTGGTCAAACTCATGCTGGTAGCTTCGCGAACACTATCCAGCCATCTCGTCCTCTGTCGTCCCCTTCTCCTTGTGCCCTCCATCTTTCCCAACATCAGGGTCTTTTCCAGGGAGTCTTCTCTTCTCAGGAGGTGGCCAAAGTATTGGAGCCTCAGCTTCAGGATCTGTCCTTCCAGTGAGCACTCAGGGCTGATTTCCTTAAGAATGGATAGGTTTGATCTTCTTGCAGTCCATGGGACTCTCAAGAGTCTCCTCCAGCACCATAATTCAAAAGCATCAATTCTTTGGCGATCAGCCTTCTTTATGGTCCAGATCTCACTTCCATACATCACTACTGGGAAAACCATGGCTTTTACTATACGGACCTTTGTTGGCAAGGTGATGTCTCTACTATTTAAGATGCTGTCTAGGTTTGTCATTGCTTTCCTCCCAAGAAGCAGGTGTCTTTTAATTTCGTGGCTGCTGTCACCATCTGCAGTGATCATGGAGCCCAAGAAAGTAAAATCTCTCACTGCCTATGGTAAAATGTGCAAAAAAGAAAAAGAAAAAAGGATATAGTGGTGGAGACAATGCACAAATACATCTTAAGAGACTGTTTAAAGCTATCAAAGTTTCTGGTTGATGTCACCAACTAATGTACCTTAGGGCCATATGAGGTGCAACATTCATTGTGGAAATATAATAAGGGTGGATTTACATACAGAGGGAAAAATCCACTATAAATGTCAGAAATTGAATCGTTACAACAAATGGGGGGGTGGCAAGCTATGTAAAATTGCAAAGATTCATTTATTTATTACTTTCCAGAGTCCATAGTGCATGTATTTTGTTACATCAATCGCCTCTGAAAGGAGAATGAGTAGCAAGGGGTGCAAGGTCAAGTTTAACCCTTTCTCCATTGTTGTGAACCCAGTGAAAAATTCCTCGCCTTCCTGCCCAGGACTCAATTCCAACAGGCCTGCAATAATAAGCAGGGTGAAAGAGGAGCGCGCAAAATATGGTTTGAAGCTCAACATCAAAAAAAACAAAGATCATGGCCACTGGTCCCATCACCTCCTGGCAAATAGAAGGGGAAGAAATGGAGGCAGTGAGAGATTTTACTTTCTTGGGCTCCATGGTCACTGCAGATGGTGACAGCAGCCACGAAATTAAAAGACACCTGCTTCTTGGGAGGAAAGCAATGACAAACCTAGACAGCATCTTAAAAAGCAGAGACATCAACTTGCCGACAAAGGTCCATATAGTTAAAGCTATGGTTTTCCCAGTAGTGATGTATGGAAGTGAGAGCTGGACCATAAAGAAGGCGGATACCCAAGGAATTGATGCTTTTGAATTCTGGTGCTGGAGGAGACTCTTGAGAGTCCCATGGACTGCAAGAATATCAAAGCTATCCATTCTTCAGGAAATCAGTCCTGAGTGCTCACTGGAAGGACAGATCCTGAAGCTGAGGCTCCAATACTTTGGCCACCTCCTGAGAAGAGAAGACTCCCTGGAAAAGACCCTGATGTTGGGAAAGATGGAGGACACAAGGAGAAGGGGACAACAGAGGACGAGATGGTTGGACAGTGTTCTTGAAGCTACTACCATGAGTTTGACCAAACCTCGGGAGGCAGTGGAAGACAGGAGTGCTTGGCGTGCTCTGGTCCATGGGGTCACGAAGAGTCAGACACAACTAAACGACTAAACAACAACAACAACTGAGCATTCAGGGGTTCCAACCTGAATAAAATATTGGGGAGGGGGGGCAGGAAAGTCCTGCCCCGCATAATAGATCACATGATAGGGTTCACACATTATTTGAATGGCAATGCCCATCAACTTTGGGGAGCTCCAGCTCCCTCAAATATTTTATTGGGGGGCCACCTAGGAGCTGGCGTATGAGCATGTGTTTTTCCAGGCCCAGCCTGTCTTCCTGCCCTCAAATTCTCCCTTCATCTCTTTGAATTTACATCCCTTTTTTCTCCCCACTCTGTTTCATTTTCTTCTCCGGCTTCACAGCATTCGATCGCATAGCTGGACTCCTGACCTTGACTACCATGCAAAAGTTGGTTAATTTCATGTCCGTTTTGCATTGCTCTTTAGAGGTTTTTGCCCGGGGAATAGAAAAGGGCTGGGTATAGCAACTGGTTGAGTCAGAACTCATTTCACGGAACATAGCTCTCAACACGAGGAAGGGACAACCTCTACAAATTTGGGCTGCCTCTTTTACAGAAAGCGCTCAAAAGCCATGCTGTAGATCATCAGACACATGGTGGATGAGACCTGAATCTATTTCACTGTCTGTGCACACAGTAAAACAGGCAGGAGTGAAGGTGCTCATGCTTCCTCCTCCCTCCCCCCTTTGTGACAAGGTGAATGTACCCACAAGCCACATACAGGAGCCTCTTCGGCATCCAACATCTTTCTTGTTTTTGTTGCCTGAACTCAAAGGGCCTGATCTAAAGAAAATCAGTTGTATTCAAAATGCCCCACTGATTTCAATAGGAACTGTGTGATCCATAGTTGCTCTGTATGTTATGCCTACCATGTGAATCTGCTCGTTTTTGCAAGGCTCTGGGTTGTATTAGTGCAGCACAAAGCAATATATTCCATCAGCGCAAGGATTTCTCCTTGTGCAATGGAAGGTTCTTCCCCTCTTGTCAGGGGCTGGACTGAGGAGGAATGGTGGGAACCGCTCCCCCACCACCACCTTCTTGAGAAGAAGAGGATAGTATAGATTTAGAACAGTGGTTTGTAGAAGGTCATAGTTCAGAGGCTACAGAGAGGAGAAGCTGGGCAATATTGGAAAAGCAGCAGGAAGAAGAAGCTCTAGGGGAGAGGCAGCTGACAGACTCAGTGTCTCTTGAAACCATTACTGACCCCTGCTTTCCCAGAACCAGGCGTGCCATGAGAGTAGTAGAACGGAAAGCTCAGAGGCAGAAAGCACAGATCAGCCGGCACAGGGGTGACGTAGAATAGGAGGGACTGAGGGGGTGGACTTTACTTGGAGCAACGCCATTATCTAAGAGAGACCGCATTCCTTTGTCTTTCTCTCTCTCTGTGAATATTAAATAAACTACTAGGTAAGAACTCTTCTTGTTTATCTGTGTGGCATTTGCCCATTCGTTTAGAGCCTGTCTGTACAGGGGAAAAGAAAGGGTTAAAGATGTAGACCAATAGGAAAGCTGGAGGCGGAGCCTACATGTGTATAAAAGGGCTTGGCCTGAGGTTTGTTTGAGTTGTTGGTGGGTAGTTGGTTGGTTTTAGTGGGTTGACTGGTTGGGAAAGGCTGTTGGAGAAGCAGTTGGCAGGCAGTTGGAAATAGAGAGATAGTTAGGGCAGTGGGTTCTTGAGTGAGGGGAGGTAGAAGACATAGAGAGAGGAAAATAAGACTAAGAAAGTAAAGAATAACAACGTTGGGAATGCCAGAAAAGTTTGTTTGTGTCTGAAATAAATTACACTCTTCTTTATTAATTGAGAACCTGACTGAAGCTGAAGTGATTTTACCGGGGAGGACCTGGTTGGTGGCAGCGGGTTAGTGGTGTACGGGTCAATAGTCCATGAGACGACCAGGGGCTCCATACGAACGCCACAATCTGTTTCTTGGCATCCCACCATGGAAGGGGTAGAATTCCTTGAAGCCTGACACCTCTCCAACCCCCAGCACTCCCTAAATCTGTTCTGGGGGTCCCCAACCCCACACAGCAGATTTTTGGGGACAGTGAGGGGGACACACAGGGGCGGGGATTCTGCTATTTAGTTGAATACTCCTCGTGTGGTGCCTGTGAAGGCCACAGAGTCCCATCTGCCCCACTGAAAATAGACTTGAAAGAAGGCTTGTCTCACAGTAGCCAACCTGCCCACTGGCCACCGAAGACCCTGTTGGACAGACTCCTGATGCTTTCACAACCACCTATTCCCAGGACCTGAGTCAACTTTGATTAAGTGCCTCCTCCTCTCAGTGCAGCTTGTATTTTGCCAGCCCTGGAGTGGAGGGGCTACTAGAACTTCAGCTTGGCACCCAAGGAGGGTGTCGCCTGGGGAGAATGCCATGGCATAGACCATAGGACCCAACTCCTAGGGGCTGAACCCTCCAATAAAATATTTCAGGGTGCTGGGCCCCTTCAAAGTTGATGGGCATTGCCATTCAAATGGTGTTTGCGCACCGTGTCATATGGTCAATTGTGTGAGGCTGGGCTTACCTGCCCCTCCCATATTTTATTCAAGTTGGTAACTCTGGAATAGACTTAGAGGCCTTGTTGTTGTTGTTTAGTCGTTTAGTCGTGTCCGACTCTTTGTGACCCCATGGACCAGAGCATGCCAGGCACTCCTGTCTTCCACTGCCTCCCGCAGTTTGGTCAAACTCATGTTGGTAGCTTCGAGAAGACTGTCCAACCATCTCGTCTTCTGTCGTCCCCTTCTCCTTGTGCCCTCCATCTTTCCCAACACCAGAGTATTTTCCAGGGAGTCTTCTCTTCTCATGAGGTAGCCAAGGTATTGAAGCTTCAGCTTCAGGATCTGTCCTTCCAGTGAGCACTTAGGGCTGATTTCCTTAAGAATGGATAGGTTTGATCTTCTTGCAGTCCATGGGACTCTCAAGAGTCTCCTCCAGCACCAACTTAGAGGCCTACCAGGCTGCAGTTGGACCTGCAGTGGTACCTCGCTTGTCAAATGTAATCCATCCCGGAAGACCATTCGACTTCTGAAACATTCAACAACCAAGGCACAAAGGGAGATTGTCAATTTCAATGGTGAAAATTGAAAAACATGCCATGGAAGCCATTTGACTTCCGAGGCATGTTTGAAAATGGAAGGAATTCCTTCTGGATTTTCGGCGTTTGAAAACCGAAATGTTTGGATTCCGAGACGCTCAGAAACCGAGGTACCACTGTACCAAACAAAAACAAAAAACAGTCTGTACATGCTGCTTATATCCTTATGTTGAACAGTCCTCTTTCAAAATATAAAGCAGATAGATTATATCTTCCCCCCACTTACAAACGTTGGAATGCACATTTTCATGATGGCTGATATGCCCTGTGTTTTTCCTCTTCTTCAGATATCTTTCAATTAATTAAGAAGGACTATTGCATAGTACTGCCATCAGTGTCTGAGTTCATTACATTTCCTTCCTCTGAGCCCTTTATACAACCACCTATCCAGGCAACCTTAGAGCTATTGTAGGGAACATCAGAAGACATTGCAATCATATTAGCAGACCTTTAATTATTCAGAGTTCTTTCTGATAAAATGGCGCTGCAGGACAATGGAAGCAAGAGCTAAT